AATCCCGGCAACAGAACCCCACTTTGTCAGGGAAATCAATAAGGCAGAGAAGCCAGACCCACAAAAACTTGGCCATCAACTTGGGGGACTAATGAAGCCAGCCGACTAGTTGGCCATAAGTACTGAAGTTCGCTGAAAAATGCCTCGCATCGGCATCGGACGCCTCGAAAAAGAGCAAACAAGTAGCGAGCGAAAACACGAAGTGAATTACAGAAGAAGAACAACATTTTGCATAAATTAGAGCGAGCCATGCAACATGAAAATCGCTGAAACGTGTCCAAAGCTGTTGACAGCGTGGCAAGGGGGGCGTTTGGCCAAAAGGGGGAGTGGCTGTGGCAGTGGCTGGCTGCATAAAATTAAGCAAAAGCTGTTAATGACGGATCGCGACTTGGCTCAAACTCGACTCAAACCCGAACTGAGTGGAGTTTGCTCTCTGGTTCTTTTCGCCTTACATGCCACATGCAACCAGCAAGTAGCAACTGGCATTCAGCAACCAGCAACCAGCAACATGCAACATTAGCGGCTGCAGCATCAGCAACTCGCTCTCGAATCGCGAAATGGGAGTGTGGGCTGGCCGGCCAAGTGCATTTGGCCGCCGCTGCTGCTCTTGGCCCCTCCGATTAATTATGCATTTTAGCCGCTGCTGAAGCCGAGCTGATGAAAATGCAGATGCAGATGCTGCGGCTCTTGACTACGATGCTCTTGTTTGACTTGACTATCTGAAACTGGGTGTGGCGTCCTCGAAGAGGGGGCCTTTGGGCGCTCAACTGATAACAATATTGCGATGTTACATAATTCAAAAAGTGTTTTGAAATAATTTGTGAACCGAAAGGGGGTGCATTGGCGTATTAATATGCTCCACCAAGACTTTTCATTCATGGTCAAATATAAGTTGAACTAGAAAGCGATTACGTATTATATTAAACACCAACGAGCAACCCATTTTCCATTGAACAATGGTTTTAATAGTAAACACCAATCAAAAATCAACTTTTTTTCCGCTCGAAGTCATTTACATTTTTAAAATATTTAGTTCAAGTGAGGAAGTTTTAAAGCATGGAATACAGTGCTTATTATGTTTTCTGAATTTTTACCATTCTCATATTAAAATGTTATTCCCTCCTTTTGAGTAATATTTGAGAGATTTATTTACGTTAGCTCCTAAACCATGCCACTTTATTTTCAAACTCTACTGAGAATGGGAAGTCTCTCAGTAAAACCCCTTAAAATTCTCAGAACGGACGCCTCTGCTGATTCAGTGCAGCCAGCTTATTGCTTATAGCTTATCACTAGCCTTGGCGAATAACGTGTACCGCCTAACGGTAACGCTGCACTAAATCACCGCGCGGTACTTAAACAGGCGTTGCAGCACACACACTCGCCGATCTCTAGGAACTTGTGCAACGGGCTCGACTGGCTGCCGAACCCAGACCAAATCCCCCATACCGAATCCCCATCTCCATCCCGAGATCCCAGAACCACTGTTATCCGCATCGCGAAAGCGATATTCGAGGTGAAGTCGAGCTGCAGACAGGCACACAAATGTGCTCATGTCCGGACAAAAACCCATAAAGAAAGCGAAGAAGCTGAGGGAAACCGAGGCGAAATGCATAAAAACGCTGAGCGACAGCAACACGTGCAACATATGACGCTATTGCATGTTCGGACTTTTTGTTTACAGCCCGGTGTTTCGGGTGGAGAGCTGGAAAGATGGAGTCTCGTTTCGACGGAGTGACGTAAAGGCAGTCAAACGCGGCAGTTTAACCCGAAAGTCGGCGGCATAGAGGAATAAATTGCGGCTCCGCTTGGGAGTCGCTCTGGGAGCCAGACAATGGAGCACGCAACGCAACAAGGTCACGAGTTGGGGGGCCAATGAACGAGATTTCATAATAGCCCTGCCCTGAACCGAGCCCAACCGATCCGAACCAATCCGAACCGAACCCAACTGCCACGCCCCCCGAGCAGTTATGTGCATTAAGAAGGGATTCTCGATCGGAGATCGTGTGCAGGCCATGGATAATCGAGCATTACTAGGACTAATGCCAGGCTTAACCTGGCCGAGACGGGCGTTTATCTTTCGGCCGATTGTGAAAGTAATTTAATGCGGATTGGCTGCCTCGACTCTTTTCAATTATTACCAATTGCATGTTACGTATTAATTTCGCCTGCCAGTTCTGCTGGCTCAATTGCAGCCGTTCTGTGTCGTAGTGCATTTAGCATTTCCCAGAATCGGGAATCCATTGGAAAACTTGTTTTCCGGCGATCTCAACACTAAGAATGTGTGTGATTGCAAGAGGCCTAAATGATTTTGAACCAGTTACGTGTTCCTGCTGCGGATTTTTCTGGGGAAACTGCGTGTCTAAAATTTAATGAAATCGTGGAAACACTGCGGCAACACCGTGGAACGAATAGAAATGCTATCGATGCCGTGGTGTTGCACATAATTGAGATATTATTGCAGCTGGGATTTGGCATTTGAGCAACACAAAACGTGCTGAAATTGCTGAAAAGTCCGTTAATAAGCAGCGACTATGATTGGATTATATTGGATTGGATTGGATCAGATCGGAGCTAAGCCCCGTAAGATGAGGAAATCGGTTCAAAGGAGCTGGACTCAAAGCGGGACTCGGCTTTTGAAATTGCTAATAGCTAATGTGAGTGTAAAACGCACACAAAATGGGGAAAGAAATTACCCGTGGTTGTATGTTATGAAAGTAAGCAGTGAAGCCTAAAATGTATTGGTCATTTGGCACCTTGAAAGCAGCTTACGAATGTTACAAGCATACTTCATGTGTTTCGAATAACTTTTTTAATAGGCCGTAAAACCTCAAACCATTCAAGTCTCGCTTTCTACAGAAAGTGAAAAGTGAGCGAACCAGCAAGACTTTTTGAACAATCTATGTTTTCATGCATTTGGTTATTTGGCGACCTAACTCGGAATTCATTTACACTCTGCTAAAATTGTAAGGTGTTCTATAATGACCCCATTTATACAACACTCTTAAGAGCTAAAATGCCCCACCGATTAGCACAGATATTTCCAAAAGTGTCTTCGAAACGCCAAAATTGATGGCAGCCACTCGGCGATGGTCAAGCGAAAAGACCGGATTGCCCGTTGTGGAACGGCAGAGCCATATTTCCCAGACCATTCCCATCCGATTTGAGTGTCAAACAATTTACTTTTAATTATCCTCAGACGTGCGCGCTTGCGACAGGCCATCAAGGAAATGACAGACATCAAACCAAATAAACTCAAATCTTCTTAACCCAAATTTATGTATATGTCCAGGCCGCGGACCAAAGTTGGTCATGCGGCATTTTTGCGTACTTTTCGCATTTTGCGCCTGCGATGCGAACTGTGGTTCAGTGCAGAAATCGCATGCACCCGTACAGAAACCGTCGACAGGTTTCTCTGGCCGAAAAGAGAAAACCGAATACCGAATACCGTCTAGGCCGACCGAAAAGCGGCAGCCAAACAACTGCCGGCCATATTCGGCAGCTGGGACTGGGACCTGTGTCGCTTCGATTTGAATTGATCTGATCTGGCCGAAGTTTTAAGACCGGCGCTTGGCCGCCGTTTTGCGCTATCAAAGTCAATCGGAAAGCCACTCGCACAATTCCCAATTCCCAATTCATCGGGTGACAGATTACGCCCTGGCTTGTGGCGGTTTGTTTTGGCCCGAACCGCTTCGACTGCGACTGTTTAGAAAGTACCCGTGATCGATCAGCTTTTGGCACCGAACCTACCTGCGAACAAATCAAATTTGCATTTCTTTCTTCCAACTTTCTCCCCACACGCTGTGGCATTCCGGTGGCACTGAGCGATCTGCAACTCGCACGGAGGTGTTAATGGCTCCTGGTCATCCATCTGCTACTAATGTACGTAGGGTACCTTATTTTCTTCCGACCCGGAGAGACGTTCACTTTCCGGGCCTCCGTGGGCCGTGGTTCATTAGCAGAAGGCTAAACTGCGATTGTGACGAGTGTCTTTGATTTGCATAAGCTCACAAGCTGCTCATAAATCGCCTTTCGATGGAATGGCAAATTGGCCGGGGCTTCTTCTCACGTTGATTAGTGGAAAAAATGTTGGAAGGCCTAATGGCTTTGTATTTCTGTTTGGCTGTTATTCATGCTCTGAATGTTGTGCAATTTGATATACAAATGTGAGGCGTTTGTGGAGGAAACAGTTTAATGTCTCACACACCGCGCTCGACTTCGGCCCAAACAAATGGCTTTAATTGCCACACAGGCGAGTAGGAAAAACTTAAAAAATTAAAGCTGAAACATGACCGGGCGCTGCAGGCCAAGTGCTGTCATTTCTCGGCCGTCTCTGCTTGGCTGCATAATCGCGCAGCGTGCCACAAATTGAGTGAAAGTACCGCAGAAAGCGGCGATTCCACGAAGATTCCACCGTGGGCAGCGGTCGAGCGGGTAGCCGCAAAACCTTGTGGCGCTGCCTGGCTGCAAATTCGGGTCCGGGGTCCATCAGATTTGATTGGACAACTGCACGCATGCAGCTGCGCCGCCATCGCGCTCAAAAGTCATTTGAACTGCCTGCTGGCACTCAAAAAGAATGTGTTTTCCGCTAGCAAGCAGACTAATTGCAAATGAGTCGGACAGATGGAATCAGAAACGATTAAGATGCATATTGCACAGATTGGCATTCTGCAAATTAGGTTCTCAGATATGGGAATGTTGTTTCTTGGGAATTATGATCTCATTGAATAAGAATTGTAATAGTAAGCAAGCAAGCAAGAATTTTTATTAGAATTTTGTTGGAGTAATATTTAAACAATTTAAAGACCAAGCTTTTTGATCTCACTATTTACAAAGCAGAAGAGCAACAACAAATATCTCACTTCATGGAATATTAGTTTTACAGTCCGCGCTTTCTTTTAATTAGATGTTATTACTTCTGAAAGCTAGATACCATATCTAATGTTTGTTTCGTAATCTGGACACCTCGTAATGATTTCTCTTTTCTTTCCATTTCTCTGCAGCCCCCAGACGAGCCAAGCCAATCGGAAATTCAAGCCCACGCCCGCACCCCGTTCCACCGGCAACATGCAACAGACCCCGCAGCAACATCCGCAGCAGCCACTGCAGCAGCAGCAGCAGCAGCAGCAGACACACCTTCCGCCCAGCAGCAGCTACTACACGCAGACGGAGAGCGAGTTGCTGCAGATCGAGGCGGGCGGAACCGGGCTGACCTTTGCCACCCACTCGCACCCCCCACTCCAGCTCCCACTCCCACTCCAGTTCAAACTCCAACTGCCTCGTGCAACGTCCTGATACGGCGGTCAGTGCCCTGCAGCCGACGTCTCTGGGCAGTCAGGTGGCATCCACGTCCAATCTCGACGTGCCCTCGGTCGCCTCCAGCGGCAGCGGGGGAAGTGGGGGGAGCGGAGGGGCCCCGGGATCAGCGAGCCACTTTGTGTCGCCCCTGCAGCGCCGCCACTGCCAGCCGCCCAGCCACCTGCCGCTCAACTCGGTGGCTTCTCCGCTGCGCACCGCCAGCTACAAGTCGGCGGCATCTGCCGCGGGACACGGCTTCCACCACAGCCACCACCAGCAGCTCGACTTCCAGCGGAACTCGCAGTCCGACGACGACAGCGGCTGCGCCCTCGAGGAGTACACGTGGGTGCCACCCGGTCTGCGGCCCGACCAGGTAAGATGCCCCTTGGAGCCCAAGGAGCTATCCACTCGAGATGGAAAGCTAGGTCCAAGCTGATCAGATTTGTTTATGCAGAGTTAATCTGAACTTTTACGACCCAAATCGCTGAAATGCAGTAACCGAGAACTTTGCAAAAAACTACATTTCAAATGTTTATAATTTAAATAGGGAATAAAATGTGTCGAGTGTTTGTCTGTTAATAATATTTGGGCTTTAGAGAAATAGCTACCGTTTTGTTTTTATGTAATTAAGGCCCAATAAAAATTATTCGAATTAGAAGCTTACTTAAATAACTCAATCATCAAAATGTAGACAATATCAAAACTAAGTTAAAAAAGTTAACTGTTTGTGGTTATAACATTTCTGACTGCTAAAACGGAATAAAAATAAAAACAGAAACAATTAGGATATTAATAATAAGACAGAGACAATTTTGTATGAACATTAGTTACAAAGATACAATATTAACTACACATGTAAATGTGTGCTTTCGATTTAGTGCTAACCCAGAGCTATTCTTTCGCTGAGTGTGGGAACTTAAACATGTTCAACATCATCAGCATCGTCGGCATCCCAACATGTGTTCGATTTGTCGCAACTAATTAAGCGAAATCTCAGGCGAGGCGATTGGGGCAAGGTGGTTGCCTTTTCGTGCCGCAGGCCACCCGCTGCCAGCTTTTGCTTTCGATCGATTTTCCACGCTCTCCCCATCGGATCCCCAAAACTAAATCCAGTTCAATGTCTGGTCGTTGGCCACTGGCGCGCTTAAGGAAATCGGTCGGGAAACCACTTTAATTTCACGCTGAAAAAATTATCGCTACCGAATCGCCATCGGTATCTCGTGGAAAGCGAAAGCGCTTTGTAATTAAATTGCCGATACATTTGGCGGCAATTAGAGCTTGAAATGCCTGTCGATATATGTCCGTATTTTTTTTTTTTTTTTGGGGCGGAGGCTTACATAAGTGCTCCTGGGAAAAGCCAAATAACCGCAGAGATTGGACTGAATTATTTTCTTTATTGGACACAATTTCCCATGAGCATTGCGACATTTTTACTTACACAACTTCGGGGGCGTGAAACGACTTTCGGTTAATTCGCTATGATTTGTTAGATTCGATTTAAAGAGTGGATATTTCCCTGAGCTAAAGTTCAACCAGAAGCTGACTTTCCGATTTGCATTTTCCACTTCGCAGGTCCGCTTGTACTTCAGTCAACTGCCAGACGACAAAGTGCCCTACGTCAACAGTCCCGGCGAAAAGTATCGTGTCAAGCAATTGCTGCACCAGCTGCCGCCGCAAGATAACGAAGTGAGTATTGGGCAAAAAGACTGAAAGAACACTGCTGCTGTTAAAAAGGATAAAAACAATGGGGAAACGCGATTAGCCACTGGCCACCTTAAAGTTAGCTTGAAAAATGCAAGTAAAACGATTAGAAGGCTGAGCTAATTTAGTTAACTCATTTTCAATTTGAAATAATGTCTGGTCGGATCTTGGAAACTATTTAACAACTTTAAAGGAACTAAAAATAATATTTTTAAATAATAACTACTATTGGCTGAATCCGAAATTCATTACTCGATCATTACCATTGAAAAACTAATTCAAAATTCTTTTAGTTTTTAACGTCTTAATGATTATAAAGTTACCTAATATATAATAATGCAGTTACTTGGAAATTTTCTTACTTGTTCATTTAGTGTTATTGTGAATAAAGAATCTTCTCATCAATATCAACCAAAATAAAAATATTATCTTTGAGAAATTTGCCTTACAAAAAAGTGTTTCTTAAAAAAGCCATTGAAAGCAGCTCGTTGTGACAAAATTTATAATTACCCCGGCGCGGGCATTCAAAACAGAATATAAAGCGAACCCTTCAAAAGGCCCGGCGAGATTAAAAAACTTGCCGCTGCCTTTTGAGTTGCCTTAATTAAAATTCAGGAGCACCCAAGCTGACTTTCCCGTCCACGTGTCCTTTGCAGGTGCGCTACTGCCACTCGCTGAGCGACGAGGAGCGCAAGGAGCTGCGCATCTTCTCGGCCCAAAGGAAGCGGGAGGCGCTGGGAAGAGGGGCGGTCCGGCTGCTGTCCGACGAGCGGCCCTGCAAGGGGGTAAGTTTCAAAACAATTTTTCCATACATCCCCCCCCCCACCTTTTTTCGCCCCCTCCCGCACACCTAATTGTTGCAGAAATTTGCATTTTATTATGCGCAGAAAGTAAGAAGACGGAGGGTCGTTTCGATTTCATTTGTGCCTGGCCGGGCGAAGTTTTGCGCCAGAGATTCCTTCTACCAACTGCCAACTGGCATAAACCGGCAAAGTACGAGGAAAAAATTGACAATGGCCCGGGAAAACAATGAGTTCAGGGATTGGGGAGGGGCGTCCGGGGTGCTGGCAACTTTCAAACGTCTCGAAGTAAGAGATGACAAAAAGATTTCATTAAGTACACTTGCAGCGGGCGGAGGGGCTGGAAATGAAAAACGTTGTTGCAAAAACAATTGCAGCGACTTGGCTCTGACAACATAAAGGCTAAGAGAGTCGCAGCTATTTCCTCGCGCGAAAAGTGAATGGAGTGGCCGGCATTAAAGCACAATGGCAGTGGCATGAAATAGTGGCAGAGGTGGCACCCACTTCTCCGCATCCTTTCCCCGTCTGCCTGGGAAATTTGCATTGTTATTGGCTGCCCGTCGGAGGACTCCCGCTTTGCCACTCCGATGTGCACTTGGTCAGCTCCGCACTTTTCCGGAAGATAGTTAGTTGGCAGCTCGATTTTATTGTGCTCACATTCGCCACTCGTAAAACTTATTAAAACTTTATGCCGCATGGCGCGTGTCTGGGATCTGGTTGGGTCTTCTCCGGTCTTCTCTGGCTGGATTCCATCGGAGTGGTTTCAGAATCCGTCTGCTACGTGCGCGGGCGAATGGGGATCCGCCGGATTGGGATTCGCCCGGAGTCATGTGCGTGTGTCTGATTTTATTTGGCCAGCCCAGATTGGCAGAAGACTTGGGTTTATTATGACAACGGGCCAACTTCTCTGAGGTTGCAGTTCATTAGTGTCCCGAATAATCAGTGAGAACTTTGGCCCAGAAGCTCGCATATCCATGTTAAAGTGTTTAAAATATTTTTAAGCGATGAAAAGCAAAAGTGCCACAACAAACCAAAATACTTGATGTTAGAAAATCGATTTGTACTTACTTAAAGTTTCCCCTTCTCCTATTTACTTCAACATTGAACATGAAAAAAGGTTGGTAGCTGAAAGGAAATAAAGTAAAATCAAAGGAAACTCTTTAGTTGGAATTAAGCGAACCGTATATCAGTTCTTTTTTTTGCCACTTTCCACTTCGTTTCCATGTAAAATCAGATAAACTTTAAAAAGGATTTCGAAATCGGAGGGAAGCCTTTCCCTGTCCCCAGCTTAAGACCAGGCGAAAGTGCTTAAAATTCACAGACCATAACTGACTTGCTAAACGGACGCTAAAATGCGAACAAAGGCCTCAACCCTGAGCCATCAGATCGAATGGCGTGGAAAGCATGGGGAAATTATGAGGGAAAATTTATGAAAACGTTCAATGATCCTGAATGCCGACGGGGAGGAAGCCTTCGCAGTCAGTCAGGCGTAAATGAGCAGCAACGTGGGCCGCAAACGTGTGTCACATCCAACTGGCAATGATTTTGCCAAAAAATAATGGAATCGAGGGGCGGTGGGAGGGGCACACTTCTTGACAGATTTTCCGCACGAACAGCAACGAGCGGAGGCTGAAGTTTTGACAAGGATGTGACACTAAAGGTCGCCCCGGCAACAATGAAATAATTACAAGAAAAGCCATCTCAGACTCGGCACTTTACTGCAAAAAATATATATGTGTTGTCAAATACAGTCGAAAAAACTAAGAGCTTAAAATGCCATTACCTTTAGTTGGTAATTTACTCTGAAGGAACACGTTTCCAGTTGTGCTTTTGGCTCCAAATTTTAGTATATGTTAACTTGCAAATAGAGAAATGTGGATGATTTTTTGACAGTGTAACAGGTACCAAGGGCGAAACAAAACGAAGAACCAGTAAATGGAAGGTAAAGCGCAGTGGCTGTTAAGCGAAAAGTTTATGTACTGAAAAGGGCATGATAACGAGCATCATTAATAATTTGAGCTGCTTTCTGGGGAGGTTCGGGATTGGATTGGATGGCATCGGGACGGGAAACTGTCTTGTCCGTCTGCCGGCGAAGTTTGTCGCTCCGAGTGGGATTAGTCCGGACACGAAATGGGTTAGCAAGGACACTTCCACCCTCCGAGTCCTGCAGGTTCAGCCAGTTCAGTCAGTTCAGCGATTTCAGTCGGCGAGGTGCCGCGATGGCACCGCCGGCAACAATTTGTCAATAGCATAATTGTCTGGCGCAGAGTGGCTGCCAACAAGCGCCAGTCAAACGCCAACTGGGATTAATTGGATTGATAAGATAAATGAGCAGCGATTGCTGTTATTTACATGACATTTAGCCGGCCTGGCAGCCCGGTGAAAAATGTCGTTTTAAGTGCACAGATTTTCCGGACAAACTAATCAATGGCGGGGCGGGTGAGCGACCGAAATTGGTTGGGATCGCATTCTGAAAACTTTAGCGTTTTGTCCCCACCGCAGAAACTACTTAAAGTGCTTCCTGTGGGAGAAGTTTTCGCCGAGTTTCTGGGGTTAGCCGGGCCAAAGTGCAGGGACAAGTTGATTCCGACTTCAATGCGTCATTAGACAGCGGGAAGGGTAAGGGGAACTGGCCAATTAAAGTGCGCAGCTCCTGGGTTTTTATGATTTTCGTGGCCCGAGGCGATAAATTTTTGGAGTTGCCAAACAATTAACGACGCATAGAGGGAAGCCACTTACGCCCCGGGAAATTATCAACCCTGTACAGTCGGGGCCCAAAGCCCCGCCTGTCAATGCTTAATGGCTTGCAAAAGTAAATGCTGATTGCGGGACTCGGTGGGGAATGTGGCTCCACAACGGGGGCATCGCCCGCGCCGAGGTTTAATAGCCTGGAAAGTTAAGGAGCTCCTGGATGCTGGTTCCTGGCTCACTGGCATCGGCAATGGCATTGGCATCGGGCCCAGAATCTTATGCGGTGCTTCTGTGGTGTCCCGGGTAATTTGCCTGCGCCAGAAACCGCCGAAACCGAGAACGGAGACGCAGTCGAACAGTCCCGCCAACTGCCTGAAATGAGGGTGCAAATTGGCAGGAACTTTGGGTTTGGGTTCTGCTTCTTAGGAAGTGCATGAGGAGCTCTTCGTACGGGGATTGTGCATACATCAGAGCTGTCGGGCTAATTGCTTTATGCCGGAACAGTGCAAAGTGCCGACAGGTGTGGGAGGTAACTCAAATAGAGTTCTTAGAACACACAAGAGCAACATTGTCACTTCCAAGTTTGAGCCAACTTGAACAGACGGAAGGAGGTTGAACAGTTTCCAGAAGTTTTTAGGAGCTTTTCAGAACATTTAAGAGTCGCCCAATGTTATTCCTTTTGAGTTTAATCAATTAAAATATATTCCTAACCACTACTTTAATTGTATTTGTGTAAGCGTATACATGTTATTAGAAAGTATATTTCTTTTCAATTAATATACTATCTAATTGTTAAATAATTTGTTCATGGTAAATATAAAGAGTCTTCTAAAGTTGTTTAGATGACAGAAACTTCTAGCTTCCAGCTTATTCTATTCATTTGACCTCAACGTGAGCTAGCTTTTAATATGTTTTAAAATATTTCATTTTAAAACCGCTGACTCCTCAGTTTTCCCCTCTAAGTGAGCACAATTAGGATCTACATTTAGGGACATAAAAACGTCACCAGAGCCTGGCCTTTGGCTGCGAACCCTTTTGCACCGAAATAAGTTCATTATGCGAGCGCGTTTAAATTTAACGAGTCTCGAGCTGCGTGGCTTTCCCGCAGTCATTAAAAGCGGAGCTTCCTGTTCACATTTCTCAGTTTACCAGCTTTCAGAAATTCTCCGGCAGCCAGTCCCACTTAAAGCGCTTCCTTGTCCTTATCCACCGAGGAGCCTTTTTAGGGTGGACCCGGCTACGACTACGAGCTGACACGGGCACATGGCCGGCAGCTATTTTTGCATGATTTCCGCTTTGGAAAAGCCGAGGGAATGGCAAAGATGGGGGGAAAACCGCAGAGCAGGACAGGCAGGACTTTCCCTGCTGGCGGCTCTTTTCCGGGGGATTGTGGGGCGTTGAGCTTAAGCGTTTTATTACCGTTATTTAGCATTTATAGTCGCTTAAATATTTTTGCCCCAGCAGCAGCCAGACGCTGCAGATTTTTATCGCTCGAGGAACTCGAGCATATTTCTCCCGTTTGTGCGATTTACCTTACTCACTCCCAGTCCTCCGCTCCTTTCTCCCTTTCAGTGCGAGGAGCCTTTGTCGGGCGGTGACATCGTGGTCTTCGCCCAGAGGTTGGGCGCCCAGTTGTGCTGGCACCCCGGCTGCTTCGTGTGCAGCGTCTGCAAGGAGCTCCTGGTGGACCTCATCTACTTCCAGCGGGACGGCAACCTCTACTGCGGTCGCCACCACGCCGAAACCCAAAAGCCCCGCTGCTCCGCCTGCGATGAGGTAAGTGCTCGTCAAAAGTCACGGGGAAGTGGAGTTGGTAGATGGAGTTTAGACTGAATTTGAAGGCTAATTTAAAGGTGGTGCTATCAAAATGGAAGTTGGGAAATGTAATATTAATTCAAACTTAAGTTTTGAACTTGCCTTGAATGATTTGATTAAATGTTGGTGAACTTTATCTAATAAATAATACCATTGTTTGAGAAGTGCGACTAATGAATTTGTTTAAAATTAGTGTCATTGTTCAAGGCGAACTGCATAATTTAAGTCGATAGACACCTGCATTAACCACATATAAGAGCTGTAGCTTCGAAAATATATAAAGACATCAGCAATGACCTTTTAAATGTTCCATTGATGAGCCATTGATAAATTATATATATGTATATTATTATATATAAATTATATAGATAGGCATATAGTACAAAAATCTAAAGTTGATGATTTATCCAACTATAAATTTGGATTTTGGTTTTTTACAAAGAGCAGCTTATTAGACATTCTGTTATAAAATCTGCGATTAGCTTAATCATTTGCATTCTATTAAATTTTAACTTAATTCGCCTAGTTAATTAAACTCTTCAACTCTGTTAACAAAGCAGTTTCTCTATTAACAAATCAGTTTCCCATAGGAATTTGGTGTTTTAAACCCACTTATTTGTGATATACCAAGGTATCTTTCCTAATGCGAAACCTACTTTCCTTCCCTTCCTCCCCCAGATCATCTTCTCGGACGAGTGCACGGAGGCGGAGGGCAGGACGTGGCACATGAAGCACTTCGCGTGCCAGGAGTGCGAGCACCAGCTGGGCGGCCAGCGGTACATCATGCGGGAGGGCAAGCCGTACTGCCTCGGCTGCTTCGACACGATGTTCGCCGAGTACTGCGACTACTGCGGGGAGGTGATCGGGGTGGACCAGGGCCAGATGAGCCACGACGGGCAGCACTGGCACGCGACGGACCAGTGCTTCAGCTGCTGCACCTGCCGCTGCTCCCTGCTGGGCAGGCCCTTCCTCCCGCGGCGGGGCACCATCTACTGCTCCATCGCCTGCAGCAAGGGAGAGCCTCCCACGCCCTCGGACACCAGTTCGGGTCCCCAGCTGCGGCCCACGCACCGCGCCTCCACCTCCAGCCAGATAGCCAGGTCCCCCCGCAGGGGAGGAGAGCGGGACAGGGAGCGGGAAAGGGACAGGGAGCGGGAGAGGGAGCGGGACACCGGAAGGAAGAGCCACCATGGCCACCCGAAGACGACGGGCAGTGCCGGCGATCTGCTCGAGCGGCAGGAGCGGCAGCGCATGGAGGCGGCGGGCGTGGCGGACCTTCTGCTCGGAGGAGGGGTGCCCGGCATGCCACGCCCCGCCCATCCGCCGCCCATCGACCTCACCGAGCTGGGCATCAGCCTGGACAACATCTGCGCCGGCGACAAGTCCATCTTCGGGGACACCCAGACGCTAACCAACTCCATGCCGGACATGCTGCTCTCGAAGGCAGAGGACTCGCACAGCTACCAGAGCATCGACAAGATCAACCTGAACTCGCCGAGCAACTCGGACCTCACGCAGAGCACCCAGGAGCTGGCCCACGAGCTGGAGCTCGACCAGGAGCCGGTGGGGGAGCTGCCCCACGACGGCTACGAGCAGCTCTTCTCCAGCAACCGCGGGCAGGAGCACCAGATGCCAGGCGATCAGGAGCTGGAGGAGGAGCAGCTGGACAACCGGCCGCTGAAGGAGGTGCGCTTCCACAGCGTCCAGGACACGATGTCGCGCTCCAAGAGCTACACGGACAACTCGAACGCAAGGAGGAGGAGGAGGCGGCGCAACCAGTCGCGCAGCTCCTCGGAGATGCAGATCAACCAGACGAACCTGCGGCTGCACAACGCCCAGACGCAGGTGGGATCGGGGGCTCTCAACCTGCTGAACAACCTGGACAACTGCGACGTGGCCAGCATCTGCTCCACCTGCTCCTCGAGCTCCTCCAGCGACATGGACGACTACGTCTACCGGCTGCCCGCGCGGAAGCACTACGGCGGAGTCCGGGTGGCCTACGTGCCCAACGACGCGCTGGCCTACGAGCGGAAGAAGAAGCTGGCCCAGGACCCCTCGCTGCCCTCCAGTGGAGGCAGTGCGTCCGTGGGCGGGGCGCCGGCGATCATGCACGAGAGCAAGAACTGCACGATCTCCTGACCGCCCCCGCTCCTCCCGCCGCCGCCCTTCAACCTGAGCAGCTACTACATCCTGGACACGATCCTCGAGGAGCAGAGCCTCATGCTGCCGGAGAAGAAGCCCGGCTGCCTGCGCCGCGTGTGGAACTTCTTCGGGCTGGGCAAGCCCCGCCCCTCCCACTCGTACTCCAACTCCAACTCCCATTCCAGCAACGGGCGACTCTACAGCGTTTAGGCGAACCAGAGTTTTGAGTAAGAGTGGATTTTAATCTTTAATGAACGTTAATCGACAAGTTTGTCTGTAAATAACATATCCACATGTATGATACACTGCACGAAGACACATATGAGATCAGAGACGAGAGAGAAATCGTTGTACAAAGCTATACAAACCTATATCATATTTGCATATTCATATACAGATGCCCATTGGGGGCATTAGCATCTAAGATAAGGTATTCTAGAGTAGACTTAGGCAGAACAGAAACAAACGAAAAGCAGAGACCACAAGCAACGCAATCAACGAACAATAAATACATCCAACGAAGTCCAATCGATGGCCAACAAAAGAATCTCCGAAAGAGTGAAAGTATATGAACTTCAGATATTAGCCAAATGTGCAATAATTTAAAATGGCAAACGCAGAACGCCGAAAACAAAACTCTTCCACAAACAAACCGAACATCGAGTCGTAAAACCATTAACATTTACAATATTTGCGGTTTCTTTTCTCGGCGTTTTATTGTTTTTAACAAGTCAAATTGAAGATTCTTTTGTTCGCAAGCCAAGCGTTTTATGTAATTTGCGTGCTTTCTCCGCAGCGTGAAAGGGAAATTGTTATATAAAAGGAGTGTGTCCAGAATACTTGGAGTAAAGAAAGTTTTATAACCAGTGAGAGTAAATCGAAACATATGCTAAGAATCATTTGATACATTTCGGTTCGTCTATGCTAAGCTATGCTATATCAACAAGTGTGTATGGAACATAATCAAAAGTAAAATATATGTCTGTGTATTTTATTCTTAACCAATGCGCCGTATTTTTATTGCTGTTATTGGGGAACTTTAAATGGGGGTAAGTTAAAACAACATACTAAGGAATTTTAAGTAAAATAAAATCGAAATTTGTAAAATGGTTACTCATTCGAAACTTTGTTTTGGTTTATCATAAACCCTGTGAGGAGAGTCGTAAAAAAGAAAATTTAATAGAAAATTCTAATAAAGTCAATAAATGGCAAGCCTAAGAATTAAAAATTTAAGATTAATATTTAATAATGTATAAATAATTCAATAACTTTTTAAGGCATTTCCCAGAAACTAGTTTGAATCACTTGATTTAACGAATTGAAATACTTTTTTAAAATTTTTTATTTTTGAGGTAGGTATTTATCCAAGAAGCCATAAATTTTTAAATCAAAACCGTCGACAGGAGGTTCGTATTCAGATCAGATTTAATTTTCGGGTCACTGCTGCCACGAGATTACTTTATTTCATTCCCCCAACCGAAACCATGGTGTGGCTTCTGAGGAACAAGGACGATCTCTACCAGCAACTGGCCTGCGCCGGGGACAAGCTGGTGGTGCTGGACTTCTTCGCCACTTGGTGCGGCCCCTGCAAGATTATGGCCCCCAAGGTGGAGGAGCTGGCCGAGCAGTATTCGAACCGCGCCGTGGTGCTCAAGGTGAACGTGGACGAGTGCGAGGACATCGCGCTGGAGTACAACGTTTCCTGCATGCCGACCTTCGTGTTCATCAAGGCCGGCGAGGTCGTGGAGCAAGTCGTCGGCGCTAACTTGGCCATGGTGGCCAAGGCAATGGAGAAGCACGTGGGGGGAGTGGATGCCACCGAGCAGGGTTGTTCCGCCAACTGCTCGGGCACCGAGGATGTGCCCAGCGGAGGCACCTCTCCCTCGCCCAGCATCAGTGCCGACGACGTGGTCATCTGCGACATATCCGAGCACGAGCAGGAGGCCGAGGTGGAGCACTAGGAATCCAGACTGCCATACGAAACACCTCCAAATTGGGAATCTCTTCGGTGCTAACAAGCGCTAGAAGAAACATAACGCCAAGCTGACATACTGATATGAACTTATTACTATTTCAAGAACCACGACAAGAATCTTTATCGAAACAGAAACTCTTCCTGATGTCGACTTGGTATGAAGCACTTCAAGAATTACATGATGGTGTATAAATCAGGCTGATAAACAGTTCAAAAACCACTATGAAAACTGACACTTCTTTATCACAACAAAAAAACGACAAGATTCAGATTCTACATAAAATAGGTGCCATCGAACGGATCATAAGACACTATGGATGTTTCTTTTCTCTTCCTGTTTCTAACCTAGAACTATCCAGATAGTGCAGTAGCCGGAAACGAATCTCAATACTTAATACTTACTTAATTCGTTAGCTGGATCAAAACAATGTTACTTCGGATGAGCCTGTGCTAGGTTTGACAACGCCTTGAATGTCGGTACGCCACAAACTTGAAATACTATATATGCAATTTTTCAAAAGAAATATGTACAATAGACTGCACAATTTGCTGGTTTCGGAAAGTTTTCTCAAACAAAATAGGGAAACTTTATTGAATAAAGATTACCTTTCCCGACAAACATTTATTGACTTTCTTGTCCAAAATGAATATTTTTCTATTTTTAAGTTTGAGAGCCACTGAGAGCTAGACGAAAAGTTTACAATTTACTTACCAATCTAGCTGCAAGGCAAGGAACGGGGAACCCCTGTTCAGATTTCGGGATTATGGAGGCAGCAACGTAAAATTGAGTTAAGCAATGGCAAATACATCTAATTGTGTTCTAACAGATATATTTTTTAAATTATTCGTGAGTCAACAATTTATTACTTATCTGTCGCTGCCTTTGTATATTGAACTTCAGTGGAGAAAATAACAATCTGGCGAACACCACATTTTATATAGGTGGTCTCAACAGAGCTTTTTAAGATTGTTAAAGATTTTAAAATAAAAGTCAAATGTTCAACAATTCTAGTAATAAATGAAAGTAGTTGAAAATAACATTTTCTTGATCAATTCTATAAAAATAACTATTATTTAAGGTGATGTAAAATAAAATTGGCGTCAAAAAAAAAACCGTATTAAGCGGATACTTGGCCTCCAGACCAATATATAAAATAATATAAAATATATTGCTATATATTTTTATTAATCTAACTTGTGTTATATAAACAAGTGCTTCTTTAAACAGGTTTCATTTGAAAACAACTGAACAGATTTTTTGATATTGGCATCAGGTTATTTTCGTGGCACCAACTGCATCCAGAATCCGGACCTGGGTGTAAAGTTAAATCCGCGTGCCGATTCCCACAGATCCTTCGTGGTCCTTGGGGATGGCTCGATCTTGTAATGCAGCAGAAGGTTGTAGAGCATACCCTTGGCCTGCATCAAGGCATAACGATTTCCTGAAAAGCGAAAATACAATATCACATAAATATATGTACCTGCCATAGGAAATATCATATAGCATATATGACAAAAATTCAGACAAAACATATATGTCTTTGCTGTTCTTTGAAATTTAGTCGAATATAATTTAGATATTAAAATAAAAAAATTATATTAAATAATGAATGTAATAAAAAGATAAAAACAACTTTAATATTACTAATATCACAAAGCAATCTAATTTAAGATGACACTAATAAAATTTAATAAATGACAACATATTCTGTTAAAATTATGACACTAATAAATATAATATTCCTATTAACAAAAAAAATGAACTAAACAAATATGTTGGCAATGAGGGATTTATAGAACTTGGAGAGCACGTTACACAAAGGATTTTACTTACCTATACAATTGCGAGGTCCTACGCCGAAGGGCAAATAGGTGTACGGCACCATTTCGCCATGTCGATCGCTGCTGAATCGCTCCGGATCGAACCTCATGGGTTCCGGGAAGTAGCGCTCATCGCGGTGCAACCCGGAGATGGGAATGTTGACACGGTCGCCCACTTTGAAGTCGAATATCTTGGTTCCGTCTTCGTCTGTGAGGGTGTAGTCCTTGGAACAGTGGCGATCGGTTAAGGCGGCCAGAGTCCACTTTCGCAGGGACTCGGATATGACCATCTCCATGTAGGACATCTTTTGCACTGCGTCGTAATTGAGGGAGCCTCCGTTTAAACTGTCGTGGGTCTCCTTAACCTCCTCGTACAATCTCTCCTGGATTTCAGGATTGCGGAGCAGCTCGTAGGTGGTAGTGCAGATCAAGTTGGAGTTGTTCTCGAAGGCAGCGAAGAAGAAGACGAAGCACTGGGCCACGATCTCGTCGTCGGTCCAGTTGTTTTCGGACTCCTTCTTGGCCTCCATCAGGAGCTGAATCATGTCAGGACGGGTTATGTTGTGCTGCTCTCGGTACTTGATGGCATCCACCACCAGTCGAACAAAGTACTCCACTTTGCTGGACTCAAAGATGGTTAGTTTCATGAACTGCAACGAGGAAATAGTAATACAATTCAGGGAAATGCAATACACTGCTGAACAGGACTCACGTTGAAAATCTTGGGCACCAGCATGGCCAATATGAAGTTGAAGAACTGCTGTCCACGCGAAAACACGACGGACTGCCCGATCTCGTAGAACTCATTGTCCGGGTTGTTATATGAATTCACCTTGAGTCCGAATGCGGTTGTGGCGATGATATCATTGGAGAGTTTGTTGCACAACACCTTCATGTCCACCTCGAAGCCCTTTTGGCCCGGATTGGAGCCCGCAGAAAGGTCCAAGTGCTGGAGGCACTCCGCGAAACTGTCGTTCATCAAGGTAAACATGTTCCGCATTTTGGCAGCCGTAAAAACTGGAGTCAGGGTGTTCCTCATGTGCTTCCACCGCTGGTCTCTCATCACACTGAGCATGTCTTTTAGCAAACGCTCGTTAGAGGTGAGGAAGAGCTGGTGGTTGGGGAAGTGATCGAAGTCCTTGACGCAGATCTTCTTGATCAACTCGGGATCGTTCAACTGAATCATGGGAGTGCGCAGATTGAAGAAGCCCACAACTTTGCTAAAAATGTCATAATACCATAAAACGTATCTCTAGGCAGACGGAACTGCGATGCACTTACTGCTCACGAGTGCGGTTGTAGAACTCAGAGAGTTGTTTTTGGAAGGAGGCCCTTTGCAAGGCGGATGCACCCAGGTTTCCCACGAAGGGATATGGTTTTACAAAGTGCAGATTCCGCTCCTCGAAGGTCTTGAAGGTGGAAGTGCTCCATTTGTAGACCAAGTATCCGATGACCAGGAGGCCCAGACATATTTCCAAGAGAGCCATTGCCGCGCAAGATCAGTTATTCCACTCGGACGATTAATTGCTAACTGAGTTTCACAACCGCCCGCCACCGCAATTTATACCCGGCGTAATGAATATATAGGTATGTTTGCCTACTGCAATTGGTTTATCTTTCTTCGTTCTCTACAGGTTAGACGCTTTTCAGCCCATATATACACCATATAGAACACTTATCTGCCGCTCTCTTGGGGCAGTTGTTGTGGTTTGCGAGATTAAAAATCTAAAGTACCGTGTTTTCGCTCATTGATTTGTTTATATTTTTGTTATCTTCTGAGAAATTCACTGAACTGCGAGAGCTTTTGAAAACCCTGCTCTTTGAATCAATTCAAATCAAATGACCATATCTAAAGCTGTACAATCTAATCTTTGGTAACAAATAATTACACATGACAACAAAATTAAAAGTTTTCCGCTACTCAGGCTTTTATCACGTGTGTAGTCAAATCGCCTTTTATAATTGTTTAATTTGGAATATCTTAAAGGTGGTAGTATTCTTACACATATATATATTCGCTTTACAATTTATGATAAGGGTACTCCTATATACTGAAATAGATAGCGATCGAATAGGGCATTGTAATAAGTTAATAAATATTTTTTGTACCTTATGTATATTATTGTGCTGAAAAAGCAATATAAACATATATGGCACATGACATTAAACAAGTTTTTAATCTGTGCAAGTGTGAAACTTTGAGTACTCAATATTAAATGAGAGTAAAATATGTTGAAAGGCTGGAAAGTACCTTTGTTGGCAGCTGACGACATTAATAATTTCCAAATGCAATATCCAGATAAAGTCAAGTAATAATAAACCCGGAATGCAAACAAAAGGTTGATCATGATAACATTTTTTTTTTGTGAAGAGGACTTCAAATTATAGATTATTTAATGGCTGATGAAATTTATTAAACATTTTCAATAAAGTCCCCAACTAGAACAAAGAGAAATGGTTAATTTCATAATTAATATTTGACCGTGGCCTAGAAAACTGGGTAGCTCCGACAGTTCTGACACCTCATCAATTATGTTTCGCGAACTTTTCGCTCTCCTCACCGCGTGTGGTTATGTCATCCCGCTAGAACTCTAGTCTGTCATGTCAGTCACAGTGAATATGATGTAAACCTGGCCCAACCAGCAGTTTCGACTTGGCTTTTGTTGATGTTGGGGTTCACTGTTTGAATAATTTAGCATATTGACCGAAGGCAAGTTGAAGCTGAAGCCAGTGACAAAAACAAAACAACATGCAAACGGTTAAAACATCAAATTAGCCTCAAGCGTTATGGGAGAAATATAATTAAATATTTAGACAGTTTTGTTGAAGAGTTAAGTTTTGTTTTAGTTTTGGCTTCTCTTTTTTGTGGAGTTTAGAAACTTGAAAACATATAGTGGCGGCACACAAAACTATATTATGAGGGTTTGACGAAGATGTAAGATTCGAAAAGCCTAATGCAGATATTTGTTTAGCCCAATGGGTAGGACTTTACGTTAAAAAAGTAAATTTAAATATATTAAAATGGTGTTTTTTATTTTCCTACACATTTTGTAATGTTAAATTAATATTACATAACCAAAACTATAATTAATTAATTATAACAAGCATATTTGAATCGAATTACAGATTCTTTGATTTTGAAACACCTCTTAAATGGTTCCTTATGGATTTTCAATTTTTCTGGGTTTCAGTGTAGCTTTTCTGTATTCATAAGGGTTTGTTCACCCTTTGACGCAGGCATGCATTCACATTCCAGAATACATGTGCACATATAGGAATCCCAGCAAACTCGGCAGCTTCCTTCTATTTCCCGCTGTGGCACTCATGAAAAGTCCTGTAACATTTTATGCGCAACTAAAGTGTTAGAATATATATGCTCATGCATATATTGTATGACAGGATGTGAGTGATTGTGGATGGGAGTGCTGCATTTTATCAAAGCTGCCCAGCAGTTGCCGATGTCTGTCAAGCTATAATGCCGCCTGCCACGCCCCCGCCAAGCCTCCGACTCCGCCCCTTTCTATTTCATTTCATTCTATTCTATTTCGCTTCTTTTTATGCGCAAATCATGCTGCATCATTAAATCTTGCTGCTGTCGCTGCTTTTGTAGCTATTTGCCGTTGCTTTTTCGCTTTTTGCATTTCCTTTCGCTTTCCTTTCAGCAGATTTTCCCTGGAAAACCCGTCTGAAACCGACCGGAGGAAATTTACGGCTTTCGACGTTGATTTTGTGTGGGACTCGTTGCCTGTTCCCCGCCACAGTTTTATATTGTTTTGTTTTTTATGGGGTTTTAAGTAGTCGTAAAGCGTAACACTTGATGAGATATTAAACGCTGAAAGGATGCCCAAAATGCTGGGCTCTCCCGATTCGGGATCACACATTGTTGCACTTTGTTTGATTTGATGGCTTTTTAAATATTGGTTTTGAATTTTTCATCACTTCCTGGAGCAAAACGCTTTCAATGACCGTTTAATACGTTTGGGGCCTCGTAAAAAGCGGGTGCTGGAAATCGGACAACTGAGAAAAAGTTTAAGTACATAAAACTTAATGCTTAAATTAAAAGTTTTTATTATTTAATATAACTAATTGATTGGTCGCATAATCATAATTATTTTACTGGACTTGTACTCATAAATTTCGTGTAGCACCCAAAAATAAATTATATGTTAGTAGGCCTGACTTTGTTGTGTTTTTTTTCAGTGTCGAAGAAAAGATGGCAGGCAGTAGGTAAAAAACAGGCACAACTCACCTGACAGCCTCGTTTCTGTCCCATCAAGGAGCATAAAGAGACCACAAACCAAGAACCTTGTCTGCAAACTTGTCAATGACTCCCAGCAACTAAATATTTTATTAGGCAGTTGCCAGCACACAAAAAAGCGACGAATAACTGAAGCAGGACGAAGGACCTTGTGTGTATGTACGTGTGTGTGTGTGTGTGTGTGGTCGTGATTGCGTGAAATTTAGTAGCTTTTGGGGCGATGTAGGGACAGACAAGTTGATGCTGATGAGCCTCATGATGTGCCCGATGAAGACGATGATGATGATGATGGTGTGGACGAGGATGAGGATGAGGCTGTGGATGTGGATGTGGAAGCCTGATGAAGCTGCCTCGCCAGCCTGTCAGGGGAATTGGGGATCCGGCGGCAAAGTTCCTTGACTCCTCCCCAGTCTCCTTCCTCGGAGCTGTTTGCTCACAATTGGCTGTACGTGTGCAACATTTTTAAGTAGCTTTCCTGCCCCGCCCTCCCCCTGTTTGTCTTTGGGTTCGGCGAAATACCAAGGCCGGAACATATGTTTTCAATTTGGCTAGCAAATGGAAGGACTTGATTGAATTTACCTAGCCCAGAGCCAAGATCGATGTCTTAAAGATTTGAAGCTGTAGCATGGACGAGTACCAAGCGAAGAGAAAAGGAAAGTCCATTTAAGAAACACTGTTTGGAAATGGGAAAACCACTAATATTTCCCCTTTATGTGGTGTATATTTATTATTATGTAATATAAGAAGCTGTCACATAGGTTACAGAGTTTTACAGCTCTTGGTTTGAAAATCGATCTACTAAATAAAATCTGAACATTCTCTTATTATTTAAGTCACATTTTCCGCATACAAGCTTCCAATCGATTATGTATCCGCCAAGTAAGAAAACCTTTTGTGAAGGCCTTCGGTTGTTTACTTAGGCCAAAGTGCCACATCAACACATCGGAACTTTAAGCTAGCCGAAAACTATGCGAAACTTCATCTGTCAACGGAATCCCCAAGGAGGCTGGGAACATTCGCAAATTACATTTGCGGCGTCTGGTAGTCTGCATCAATCATACGCACCGTGTTCAGCAGCTGTCGAGGCGACCGGGGAAGTGACTCCTGGCAGATTCAGTGGGGAATCAGGACGTCGACGGTGCCAGGCTCCATGTCATTCCATTCAAATTACTGCGAGTCGCCTTTGTTGTTAGTGAAAGCGTCGCCTAATTGCACGCCACATGATTTGCAAATGAGAATGCCAGCTCCTTTTCTGGCAAATTAAAATAAATTGTCCGAAATTAAAGGAAACTTTTACTTTCCCCGCACTTTCCCCGCGCCGGCTGCTTGTCTGCCTGCTTAGGAATTCAGGCTGCGTTGCTCCGGTGATCCTACATGGCCATGACTTGTCTGACAAGCTCCGAGTCCTGGCTGCGCAGGATATACATGTAAAGTTTATGGGAGGGAGTGGTGTGTGCTCGTCCTTCGGCTGACATTCATTTGCGATTCGCTGGGCGTAGGGACGTGGCTCAACTTTTTGCATATTACGCACTTGGTCACGTACACTCCTCGTCTTTATTTTGCATAAGTTTGCGACTCCGGCAAGCGGATGATGGATGCCGAGAGCGAAGAATGTGTAGCTTTAAGCCGGATCCGGCTGCAAATTAGCTCAATTACGCTCGGCCCTGCTCGACAGTATGCCCCCGATAAGCGGGCCGATAAGGCGAACAAAGTCAGCCGGCAGTTTCACTGGGACAAGGTAATTGGACAGAGCACAAAGTCGGGTTTGAGTTATGGCCCGGCACTTATGAGCATTTTACTGTTCTGTCCTGCGCCGCTTTATTTATTTGGCGTTTCATTTTGGCTACTCTGACTCCTCGACCTTTGCCAGCCACCCGAACAAGTTCAATGGCTCGGCTACAGTGAAACCCCCTTTCTCTTCCTCCCACTCGCTTTCCACTGAAGAGCGGCACACGATTTTTTATTTCGCATGTTGCGACGCTAAGTGCTTCCTGTGCTTTTTTCCCGGGCTTGGGAAGGTGCCACATCAAGTTGGCTGGCACGCCATAATATTAATTGTGCCTGCCAGAAAATATATTTTTTTCGGCTTCTGGGCTCAGGGACCCCTCTCCGCACACAAAGGACATGCCGGGGGCCACTTAAATGCCATTAAATTTTTATTTTATGCCCATGAATGAAGTGCGTGCGCTCTTAAATTTTTAATAATTATTCATAGCCGGTCCTTGCTTGATAATCGCACTTTGTGGGTTCGAG